ATGTTATATACATATAGGTCCTGTTACAATATACAATAATTGCCTGCAGGGCACCTATATCTAACAGAACCTACAATAGATCGATTCTGGAAATAATAGGGCCAGCTGCGTCTTGATTTGCACTTCAGCAAGTTGAAGTCAGTTTGGATCCACATAACCTGATCACTAGTTGGGCCATATTTCGCTGAAGTTTAGGCTGGGCAGCCAATTCCACCAATTAAAAATGAGCTCAATTACTGGGTGAACATAAACCAGCTAATAAAGCCAGACACTGTTCCATGTGTGCGCGAGCGCGTGTGTGTTAAAAGTAATCAATGTAACCTATTATTACATGAATATGTTTTCAGTTCTAAAGAAGATGATTAAGGTTCTCTACAATTTGGCCTACCTCCTCTAGTTGCACCCACCTATAGTTAAGTTCAGATGGTGAAGTTTTGTTTCTTCCCAGAACAGTGCCCTGTATATTCAAGAATAGTTTCAAGTGATAAGTGTAGCAATCCTGCATATTCAGGAACTAATATAGTGGGTAACTGTAAGCATATTTAGCATAAAAACCAGAAACTTTATACTCAGATTCACAATGTATGCTCGTCTTTCAACTATGAAATTTCTGATTTTAAATGCGTCAAAGTATTATGCATATTATTCATATTTAAAAGCATCAAGTTTTGCATCTATGAAGTTTCTGGTTTTACATGAAAATGGTCTAGTGGAATTAGTTTCTTATTTACATGTTTGACCTATTTATTTACCTCATTTATACACACTTTTAGTCAGAAAATGTCAAAATATTAGCTTGTATAGAACTACGATATATGTTTAAAAATGTTTAGATTGGAAACATCAGATACATTGAGCTACTTTAGGGGAAATTGAAGAGTCAAGGCCTATTTCTTGTACAAAGACATAAAGATGTATAGAAACTTTGGTGGATGGTCCACTTAAGTTGACATAAGTTTTTCTATATATATATATATATATATATACACACACACACACACAATATCACGACTTCGACTTTTGGGTGCATGAACATGTCTATGTTTGCATGTACATGAACTCTCTTTCTATTATTCATATTCTACTATTATATATTAATGTGAGGTTGTAAATAAAGATACGAAAAATGATTAACTTAGTGGAGAAGATAGCCCTCAATAGAACTGAGTGGAAAAGCAGGGTTTAGGTAGCCGACTCTAAAATTTTGGGATAAAACGCTTTGTGATTGTTGTTGATGTTATCATACATTATTTTGTTCCTTCATCCTAACGAATTATCGTGTCTTAGTGCCTCTATCCATGCTTCTTAGGTTGGTACATATTTTGGTAGAACTTGTGATGGCTTGAGTATGATGCTTTATGATATTTTTTTTAAAAGCTCTGGATACCCCTTGTCAAGCTTTCGCATGTTCGGATTGGTTTCTTGAAAACCAAAGAAATTGAAATAGGGAGGAGGAAATCATCTTTGGTGGATTCCCCTTATTTCCATGCGAAAAACCATGAAATGAGTTTTTTTAAATGTATGTCACATCAAACAATGGTAGGGTGCCATACATTATTTTGTTAATTCGAAAAGCAGGGTTTAGATAACTGACCCTAAAATTTTGGGATAAAACACTTTGTGATTGTTATTGATGTTATCATACATTATTTTGTTCCTTCATCCTAACGAATTATCGTGTCTTAGTGCCTCTATCCATGTTTCTTAGGTTGGTACATATTTTGGTAGAACTTGTGATGGCTTGAATATGATGCTTTATGATTTTTTTTTTAAATATCTGGATAACCTTTGTCAAGCTTTTGCATTTTCGGATTGGTTTCTTGAAAACCAAAGAAATTGAAATAGGGGGGAGGAAATCATCTTTGGTGGATTCCCCTTATTTCCATGCAAAAACCCATGAAATGAGTTTCTTTAAATGTATGTCACATCAAACAATGGTAGGGTGCCATGTCGCCATTCTACTTGATTTCAAGATGTTTCAAGGTGTGAACCAAACAAGAAAAAACAAGGAGTTATAGAAAATAGGTTTCCTATAATCCATACCTTTTGCTTTTTGGCCAACCAAACAGCCCCTTAACTATTGGCTTAACGGTCAAGGGGATGACCTGAAGTCATCCAATGACTTAGGACGCTCCTGAATTAGAGCCTATGGTTTCATTTAATTATTGTTATTAGTTTAGGTCCTAGGAACCGCCAGGTGAATGCAGTTCTTATTTTTCATACCATTCAAACGTGGGTCAAAGAACGAGCATCTGCATGTTCTTTTCAAGTAATTGATGTCCACAGGCCTATTTTACTTATTTTTTACCCTGTGTAACCTTTGACCATTTTGGTTGTAAAAGTTAGCACTGCTTCTGCAGAATGAGTAATTGCTTACTTACAACAACACTTGCATGTGAAGAGCTACAGCAAAGCTGACAATTTTTCAGCTCCATTGCTAATGCCATTTATTCATGAAGGAGGTATTTATGGAAGCGGGTCATGTTTGAATGGAGTTTTTGTAATTCATCCTTTTTAGTCCAAACTATGAGAATAATTTGATCCAGACATTAGCACACATTTTCTGAATATCCAAAAATCTTAGAAAAACACCCAGTCACACAGACAACAATCACACTACTTTCTAGTTTTGACAAATAACTGAAACAGCAAAACCAACCTAAAACACAAACTAGACCCCTTAACGAGCTACAACAACTGAAAACCTAACATAAACATCACCTAATCGAACATTCATCAATCATCATCTAGTGCTTCTTGAATCTCCCCTCATTAGCGAGCTTGAACACGCGAGCCTGGTTCGCTGCAGCCTTCTCAGAGACCATCGAAGAAACAAAGCCATGTCTCACTTCCGGTGTAGTGAACGGAAAGTTCTTGTTAACCAACGAGTTGAGGTACGAAGCTGTAGCTTCTCGGTAAAGCGCACCGTACCCATCATTGCGAGTGTTAGCCAGAGCCTCTTGCACGCTAAGGTTGCTACTGAATGGTAGAGTGGTTACAGGACCAAAGAGGCCGCCTACTGTTGCCCAGTATCCAAAGATCCCCCATATTAAGGTCGGGTTCGAACTCCAGAAACTGAAAACACCATAACATAGGTAACGTTAGAAGTAAAAGTGCATTAGGAGAATAAGAGTGTTTTTGAATGCGTATTTAGCGTCTTTCAATTAATGTGAATATACGGTTATTTGACTGTTTGACATGTAAAACTTAAATTAACGTGTGTAATATGAAATATATGAAGTAGCTTACATGCAAGTGCCTGGGGTGCCTCCTGGGGTGAATGGGGGACTATTAGGATCCACTGGAGGAGTGCTTGGGGTAAGCGGCGGAGTGTTAGGATCCACGGGAATGAAAGGAGGTGAAGGAACCAAGGGAGGTGAAGGCGGTGTCAAGATTGACGGAGTGTCTGGAGTCGGAACAATCGTTGGAGTCGGAGGGCTGATGGGCTCCACTATAGGCGAAGGAGGAGGGTTTCCGTAGTAACCACCACCACCACCACTGGGTGATGGTGGGTGCGTTGCAGGGCTGGAGCCTGAACCTCCTCCGTGAGATGGTGTACATCCGCATCCACTCCCACCTTGGGGTGGAGGAGGGCAAGCTGGAGTCCTGTGGTGATCTGCGCTCACAATAACAAAAAAATTGAGAGGGTAATTAAGTAGCGTCTGGGCTAAAATTCATTCTTTTGGTAAACACTGGACCAAGATTAAACCAGTTTTTTTTTATTTGCTTTTAAACCAGTTAGTTCTGGACTAAGAAGGTAAGTAAATAAAGAAAGAGAAAGGAGAAGTTCGCGTACGCTTGGGAGGGCGAACGGAATGAGGAGGGCGGCTAAGAGAATGGGGATCAGGAGGGTAGTAGGTCTTTTGATCGGCAAACTCCCTCTCATGGCTCTGGGAGAATAACACCGTTAACAAGAAAGATATCATGAGGACCTGTCCTCCTCTTCTAGCCTCCATTGTTAACAAGCTCGGAGCTAAGAGCAGGAAAAGGAAGGGATGAGGGGGTGGTGTGAGGAGAGGGGAGAGAGCAGTGGGAGTATATACTTATAAATGCTAAGGGGGAAAGCTTTAGATTAATGACGGCTCCGTGGTCTGTGCTGGAGAGTAAATTTCGTGCAGAGGTAGACAGTGTGAGTTGGTTGACATGTTGCAGGTGCATTTATACTGCCTTGGTAGTTTTGTTGCAATTTGTGATATTTGTAATCTGCTGCTGCATGACACCTAGATTTGAAAACATTCATATTCCTGTCAAAGAAGTGAAGGTCATTAGGTTACACTTGCGCATGGCATAGCAAGTTAATGGAAATTTTTTAGTATTTGCACTTGTGAGTTTGATACATCTGTGTTTGTTTATAAGGGGAAGTTATTCAGCACCATTCTCAAAATCCAGCTGCAAAATATATTTCTTGCTTTAAAAAATAAGTTTAATAGGTTTACTTGACTATATTGGGGGTGTGTCTGCGGTTAAAACTAAAATAATTATGAACAATGATTTTGTCTTTGCACTTTATCTGATAGATAGATTGTGTTACTTCTATGCATGGCTCCATATACTCCACATAACATGTTGAAATTTAGTACTGTCTGTTAATGCAATTTTGATACATTTGTGGGATAAAGTTGAAATTTAGTAGTATCTGATTCTGTTAATTTGATACGCCTGTGCCTGTTCACAAGGGCAATTAACTAAAATAATAATGAACAATGATTTTGTCTTTGCACTTTATCTGATAGATAGATTGTGTTACTTCTATGCATGGCTCCATATACTCCACATAACATGTTGAAATTTAGTACTGTCTGTTAATGCAATTTTGATACATTTGTGGGATAAAGTTGAAATTTAGTAGTATCTGATTCTGTTAATTTGATACGCCTGTGCCTGTTCACAAGGGCAATTAACTAAAATAATAATGAACAATGATTTTGTCTTTGCACTTTATCTGATAGATAGATTGTGTTACTTCTATGCATGGCTCCATATACTCCACATAACATGTTGAAATTTAGTACTGTCTGTTAATGCAATTTTGATACATTTGTGGGATAAAGTTGAAATTTAGTAGTATCTGATTCTGTTAATTTGATACGCCTGTGCCTGTTCACAAGGGCAATTAACTAAAATAATAATGAACAATGATTTTGTCTTTGCACTTTATCTGATAGATAGATTGTGTTACTTCTATGCATTACTCCATATACTCCACATAACATGTTGAAATTTAGTCCTATCTGTTAATGCAATTTTGATACAATTGTGGAATAAAATTGAAATTAGTAGTATCTGATTCTGTTAATTTGATACACCTGTCCCTGTTCACAAGGGCAATTAACTAAAATAATAATGAACAATGATTTTGTCTTTGCACTTTATCTGATAGATAGATTGTGTTACTTCAGTTGTGGACAATGTCACAATCTATCTATCATAGGCCACCAAAGGAGTTGGTACTGCAAGGATACGTGAATGCGGACTTCGCCAGTGATTATGATACGAAGCGAAGCACCACGGGTATGTTTATAACTTAGGGTCGACAACAGTGAGCTGGGTCTCACGTTTACAGAAGATTGTGACGTTGTCCACAACTAAGGCAGAGTATCTCGCAGTGACCGAGGCGAGCAAGGAAATGATTTGGTTAACCGGGTGCCTGGAAAAGTTGGGTCTGAAGCGGGGAACGAAGTGCTTTATTGTGATAGCCAGAGTGCTATACACTTTGCCAAGAACCTAGTATTTCATGCTAAATGGAAGCACATCGAGTTACGTTACCACTTCATACGCTCAATGATTGAGGATAGAAAGTTACAGTTGGAGAAGATTTTGGGGAGCCAAAATCCTACGGACATGTTGACTAAAGAAATTATCATTCAAAAACTGGAGTTGTGCGCAACTTCAGTTGGCCTTCATGCATAAGAGATGAGGGCGGTGCCACACAGGAGAAGATGCTTGTTAAGAGAGCTTACTGATGACGGTTTGGTCTCTAAGTGGGAGATTGTTGGAAAATGGGTGTAGACCCAAACCTGTCAGCGACTTCAGGCGAGGTCCAGATGGCGAGATTCAGACGAGGCAACCCCACGACTCAGGCGAGGTTGAGCTCCCTCAGGCGAGGTGGGCTTCAGGCAAGATCGTCGAGGCGACAAGGTGCAGGCGAGGGCCCGAGATCTAGCGAGCTCGAGCGGGATTTTTAGGCGAGGTCGACGAGGCTAGCAGGCGAGGTCAACGACCAGATCTTCAGGCAAGCGCGGATAAGCTTCATGCAGGGTCTTCCGCAGGCGAGCTCGAAGTCCCCCCTTCACAGGCGAGTGCGGGACAACCTGGATCCAGCATGGCTAGAGTT